AAATTTCGAATGTAATTTTCTTAAAAACTATTAAACGCAGATATATGGTTTCTTCTGAGATTTATAGTAAAATTTTGACTAGAATATTTTCCCCTATTGACAGTTTTGCCTAAAATGAAATTTTTTTGTGAATTCATGCACCAACTCAGAAAAAGGACTCAGCACCCGCCACCCAAGAATGGTTACAAAATGAGATTCCTCGCTTCATTTCCAGCGCACAATGGCCACCAAAATCTTCGGATACCAATCCGTTGGACTATTGTGTCTGGAGTATTTTGGAAAGCAAGATTGGCACTAAGAAATACCAAAGTTTCGATCACCTCAAGCAAGCGATTCGCCAGGAATGGGCCAAAAAACACCGCAGAGCAACATTAGGGCAGCGTGTGACGGTTTCATTGGCCGTTTGAAGGTCATAATTCGTGTCAAAGGTGACCAGCTCGAACAAATCTAAACTTATTCTAAAATTTGATGCTATTTCCGACATTTTTTGCTTTCATTTAATAAAAATTAAAAAAAAAGTGTAAAAATTATGGCGTTTGACTTTGTTGTAGTTTTTTTTTTTTATCTCACCCTGTATGTTATCAAAAACCACGACGTTTGTTAGATTTTTTTCAAAGACCATCAGTGCAACCAGATATTTGATTTTCTACGAATATTTTTTCCAAAGACCATCAAAGTCACAAAACTGAAAAAGGGCTACCAGAGCCACAACGTTTTTCTTAATATTATTAAATATAGAAGTGGACCAAAGTTTTCAATTGAAAAGAACTGGACGAAAATCTGATAGGAATATTATAATATTTAAAGTTGGGATAACCAGGATAGGACCTTCGGATTGAATGGAATTAGTTTTTTTAATGTGGGTATATTTGAAGAAGTATCTATATATCCAATTGTCTTTTCTCATCTACTAATATGTTTAATATAAGTGCATTCTTCTGGAGATTCACCAGCATCTGAGATGACTTTAATATGTTTCAGGGATCTCTTTATTGTTCAATTTTTATTAATTTTTAAATGTACTCTATTTTTATTTATTTCAGAACATGTTCTAGGTCCAATTGCAAAAAAAAAACGACAGAATTCACCTGGAAATGAATGCTTGCAATGAAGTCTATTATTTCCTGTAAAGATTCCCTTTAATTTGGACTGGGAAGAACATATGGGGCGCTTGGAAGAAGCAACAAACAAGCTAAAGACATCGCTTGGAATGCAGGTAATATAAATTAAGTCATAGTTTTACTTTGTGGCTTTATTTATAAACATTGTTTTTATTTATTTTTCTTTCAGAGCGTACAAACAAACAATAATTTGTTTCTTCTTTTTGGGGTTTTTGTAGTTGTTTAGAACCTAAAATCAGAACAACATATGCAACATATTGTTCTGGTGTCAACGCAATCTACACTCAAAGAAAAATGTTGGACAAATATTAAGGAAATAAATGAAACGAAAAGAAAAAATGTACAGATTTTTTTAATTTTATTAGGGGGTGGACAGGAGATAAAGAACAAAAAAATATTGAAATAAAGAAAAAAGTGAAATAAAAGAGAAAAAAAAAAAAAAAAAAGAAAAAACCAAAGGGGTAACTCAAAGGAAGAAAAAATTAAATGAAATGTAAAAAGTTCTACAAAATTTCAAAGGAAGAAAATATTAAATGAAATGCAGAAATTCCCGCAAATAATGTGAAAAAATACTCACACTATAAAAAAATTATTAATGCAAGTAGAAGAAGTTTCTAGAAATCCTAGTTTATTTTTTTTTTAACTCTAAACAATCAGTTGATTTGCATTAGTATCTTAAATGACTTGCTAGACTTCAGCTTTGAACTTATTTTGGAGATCAATTGAATTTTTGTAGCTTCTTTTTTATTGCTACAGAAAGCTAAGAAATGGACAAAATCCGCTTGAGAAGTATTCCATTTGATCTAAAATTTCGTATTTTTAATATATATTTTTTATTTTTCGTCCAATTTGGCACTTTTTACCAAGATAATAAAAATAAATAAAATTGGGGTTTATCCTGAAAAAAAAAAAAAAAATGAAGAGATCCAATGCTTTTTATAAATGTTCAAAGGCCTTTATTAATTTTCTGATTTTTAATTTCTTAATTCGACCTTTATTATAAATTCTTTCAAATGAAAATAAAATAAAATTGAGCTCAAGGTCTTTGTTGGTTTTTATTTTCGATATTTCGTCTTCCGAAATATTGCGAAAAATATCTCATAGTATTGGGTTCCCATATTTAAAAGTCAAGGCTATATACAGGGTGAGATGAAAAAACTGCAACCAACTTCAGACTGCTGTCATTTCTAAGCCACTCGTCCGATAGCTGTTAAAATTATTCCAGTGACAGCTCATTATATTGTTTACAAGCGTACAAAAGCATTTTGGTGAGAATTTTCCAGAAAAAAAGTTATTCGTCATGGAATTTAAGCGTGATAGTGTGATTTCTAAATTTTTGGCTGGAAAACCACAAGTGGCTATGGTTAGAGCACTCCAGCATTTAAATGTGAATAAATCTTTTTTGTGTCTCGTATCATCACTCGTTACCGTGATACTGGTATCGTAGCCCGAAGTCAGGGAAGTGGACGGTAGAAAACAGCAACAGCAGCAGAAATTGTTCGAAAAGTATAGAAGCGACTTGATCGAAACCCGCGTCGCAGTGGCCGAAAAATGGCTCGTGAGCTGAATATATCGAACGTATCCATTCGGCAAAGATTGAAATAATAAGATCGGTGTAAAGTCATTGAAATTCCAAAAAGTGCAAGAACTTACATCGCAACGGAAAGAAAATAGACTCAAAAGAGCTAAAGAATTGCCTCGCTTGGCTGAAAGTGGTGAGCTGCCGAATTTGGTTTTCTCTGATGAGAAAACATTCGTTGTCCAGCAGTTTGTAAACAAACAAAATGGTCGTGCTTACTTGCCAAAGATGTCAGCTCAAAATGTACACATTCGGTTGGCCACCAGAACTCAAGCGCCGGCCATGGTGATGGTGTGGGCCGCCATAACAGCTGATGGTCGCTCTCTGCTCGTATTAATCGACCATTGCATCAAAATAAATGCCTAATATTATTGCGAAAATATTCTGGAGGGTGTATTAAAGCCTTGGGCACTCAAACATTTTGGCCGCAGACCTTGGACATTCCAACAGGACTCAGCACGCGCCACCCAAGAAGGTTTATAGGGTGAGGTTCTTCGCTTTATTTCCAGCCCACAATGGCCAGCGCACCAAAATCTCCGGATACCAATCCGTTGGACTATTGTGTCTGGAGTATTTTGGAAAGCAAGGTTGGCACTAAAAAATACCAATGTTTCGATCACCTCAAGCAAGCGCTTCGCCGGGAATGGCCCACAATACCGCAGAGCAACATTCGGGCAGCGCCTGACGATTTCATTGGCCGTTTGAAGGCTATAATTCGTGCCAAAGATGACCAATTCGAATAGATTTAAACATATTCTAAAATTTGATGCTATTTCCCACATTTTTGCTTTCATTTCATAAAATTAAAAAAAAAACTAGTAAAAAAGCAGCTAAGTTTGGCCGGCCCGAACTTTTAATAGCCTCCACCATTTGCAAGAAACTTGTAAAATTAAAAAAAAAAAAACTTCCGGAAACTACCACTTAAATGGAAACTGTTATATGGAGACTATACGAAGAGTTGGACCTGCTTACGAAATTTTTTGTCATAGGATGTAGTACCCCTTACTAACCTCAAATACCAAATTTAAAACATTTCCGGTGAATAATGTCGCTAAAATTCTTAAAAAACCGAATATCGGGATGTACCGTTATTTGGGGGATATACGAAAACGTGAACCTATATACGAATTTGTTTGTCATAGGCTGTAGTAACCATTACGAACTTTAAATACGAAATTTGTTACAATTCCGGTGAATAATGTTCCACTAATCAAAATTTTAGCCATCTATATGAATTCGTTCGAAAAATAGCGTGATTACAACAGACAGGCGGACATCACTAGATCGTCGTAGAATTTTACGCTGATCCCGAATATATATACTTTGTAGGGTCTATTATAAATATTTCGATGAGTTACAAACGAAATGACAAAGTTAATATACCCTCCATAGAATGGTGGAGGGTAAAAATGTAAAAATTATGGCGTTTGATTTTGTTGCAGTTTTGTTTATCTCACTCTGTATATTTGACGGCCGAATTCCTTCTATGAAAAATCAATTTATTCCTTCTTCTCCGAAATGAACGAACACAATTTCTTCGGGTGTATCAAAACTGCGGATATGCACGTACCTCTACATGTGTGGTTACATAGTTGTCATATACAAAACAAGCACAAAGGTAACACAAACGAAAATTTGGTATGGAATAAAACTGAACACGCATGCGCAATTTGTTGCACACCGATGGTTATCAGCAGCAGCAGTCCCTATCAAATATACACACACACACACAAGTACAGCACATATGGATGGATGGTGGCCCTGTGTTGGTTTAGGCAACAACAACAACATATAGGCAAACGAAAAACAAAATCATCATACATTGGCTGCTTGTGTTGCAGTAACTTAAATGCCGAGCAATACCAATCATTGGCTTGCTTATCGCTTTTTTTGAAAACAAAGCGATAAGATAACACCGATATAATAACACCCATACACAGATATACTACTACACTCAATTGAACGTACTCATACACCGAGCTATGTGAAGACCCACTTGCCTTTTGTGGATCTCCCTCCCTCATCCTCGACATTGTTGGTGTTACAAAATTCTACTTGGCAAAGGTGTAGCGCAGACCGCCAATATTTGTCATGGTGGTGGTGTTGGTGGGTGCCTCTGTCTGGTTATCCATGTGTGTGTGTGTGTACCTCTGTTCTGTTGGTACTGGGTAAATAAATCATAATTCACACACATATGCCGATTCTGGGGCTTTGAGTGTTTTGTTTCTTTTTTCCCATTTCCCGCTTTTTTTCCCAATTGTTCAGGTTAACCACAGGTCTGGGGTACCAACTTTTTTAGGTGTTGTGGTTGTTGTTGGTATAATTTGTCATATAGTGCTCTGCTCACCCATACAGGGGCAAAAAGAAAAGTCCATGAAACTGTAACTGTAGAACATCCAGTTAGGGTATCGGTGTCGCTATCGGTGTTAGTACCCATCACAAACCACAATTACCATCGTCACCGCTCAGTGGTTAATGAGATCCTCCTCGCGATCCGTGGTTTTTGACACACACATCAGAGGAATAATAATCGGAATAGGTGTCAAAGAAACGTAATGTGTCGACGCGCGTCTTGAGAAATCAATTTCCAGATTGAAAACTGAAAAAAATTAATGTTAAAAAAAAACAAATTTATGTCGTGCAGGGATTTTTAAGAAAAATCCATAAAAATTTAAAAAAAAACATACTTTTTTGGAAATTTTATCTAGAATTGCACCAGTGCCCGCCCGCCCCTCTAAGTGAATTTTTATGCAAATACTGAAATCTATGGTTTGTGATAGCAGCAGTATTTTAAGTTCAGCCACAATGCAACTTAAGGTAAATTTTGGAAAAAGGAAAAAAACAAAAAAATAATAAAATTGGAACCCCAACAAAAATAAACAAAATGCGAAAAGTGAATTATCTTTCGGAGATTACATATCTTGCCAGAAGAAAAAATGATAAAAAATAATAATATTGGTTGATATACAAAAAAAAAAAAAAAAAAAAAAAAACAATAGGAATCATGTATCAAAATAAAAACATTAAAAAAACCCTATAACTCATAAATAACAATTATTTTAATCAAAGTGACAATAAAAAAATAAATGAATAATTTTCCCAAAACTCAAATTTTTGCCGTCGCAATTTCATTTTTGGTATAAATACATTGGAATAAAATTCAATTTTCAAATTTTAATAAAAATTAAAAAAAATATTGAAAAAATAACATAAACATGATTTGGCAAAATGTATTTTATAAGGTCACAACGGAGGTGAATTTAGGTTTCAATCTTCTCTTGTTGTCAAAAGTCTTCTGGCGTGAAATCCATTCGAGAAGGAGAAAATAGAATTTTACATTTCAACACTGCAGACGAATATTTTCCTCAAAAGCAGTAATATTTTTATATACAGAATTGTATTTTGAAAACAAAAGCCGACGACAGTTGGCCTCATCATTACTTCGAATGAGGAAAAAATTAAATGAAATAACATTTTTAAATACGAGCAGTTTTTACCTCAAATTTATGCGGGTTTTCTAATTTGATAAAAATGAAAAATAGGGGAGGCAAATAACCCAGTCTTAATATTTTTTTGTAATATTCGATTAAGATTCCTTGGAATCCTTGCCTTTTTGGTATAAAGTGTCTTCAGCAATATTACTGATAACAATACAGGGTGAGATAAAAAAATGCCGCAGAGTCAGACGCCAAAATCTTTATAATATTTTTTTTACATTTTATTGAATGAAAGCAAAAAATATGGAAAATGGCATCAAATTTTAGAATAACTTTAGATTTGTTCGAATTGGTCAACTTTGGCACGAATTATGGTCTTCAAAGGGCCAATGTCAGACAGTCACACGCTGCCCGAATGTTTCTCTGCGGTATTTTGGCCCATTCCCGGCGAAGCGCTTGCTTGAGGTGATCGACACTTTGGTATTTTTTTGTGCCAATCTTGCTTTCCAAAACACTCCAGACACAATAATCCAATGGATTGGTATACGGAAATGAAGAGAGGAACCTCATTTCGTAACAATTGTTAGGTGGCGCGTGTTCGTGAGTCCACGTGTTCATGAGTCCTGTTGGAGTGTCCAAGGTCTGCGGCCAAAATGTTTGGGTGTCCAAAATGTCTTGGGTGGCGCGTGTTCGTGAGTGCGATGGTGCTGAGTCCTGTTGGAATGCTCAAGGTCTGCGGCCAAAATGATTGCGTGCCCAAGGCTTTAATACACCCTCAAAAATATTTTCGCTATAATATTCGGTATTTATTCTGATGCCACGGTCGATTAATACGAGCGGAGAGCGACCATTGGCTGTTATGGTGGCCCAAAGCATCACCATGGCCGGCGCTTAAGATCTGGTGGCCAACCGAAGGTGCACATTTTCAGCTGACCTCTTTGGCAAGTAAACACGATCATTTTGATTGCTTACAAACTGCTGGACAACGAATGTTTTCTCATCGGGGACGGAGAAAACCAAATTCGGCAGTTCACCACTTTCGGCCAAGTGAAGCAACACTTTGGCTCTTTTGAGACTATTTTCTGTTGTTTCTGTTGCGGTGTAAGTTTTTGCACTTTTTGGAATTTCAATGGCTTTACTCCGAGCTCATTTTTCAATATTTGTGGAATGGAATATTGCGATATGTTCAGCTCACGAGCCATTTTTCGGCCACTGTGACGCGTGTTTCGATCAAGTCGCTTCCTTACTTTTTGAACCATTTCTGCTGATGTTGCAGCTGTTTTCTTCCGTCCAATTCCTTGATGCTACCAGTATCACGGTAACGAGCGATGGTACGAGACACAAAAGATTTTTTCACATTTAAATGCCGGGTTGCTTTAACGATAGCCACTTGTGGTTTTCCAGCCAAATATAAAGAAATCACACTATCACGCTTGAATTCCATCACGAATAACTTTTTATCTGGAAAATTCTCACCAAAATGCTTTTGTACGCTTGTAAACAAGAGAATGAGCTGTCACTGGAATAATTTTAACAGCTGTCGGACGAGTGGCTTTGAAATTACAGCAGTCTGAAGTTGGTTGCAGTTTTTAATCTCAGCCTGTATTTATATATTTCATAAAAATGGAGGAGGCAAGTTACCCAGTCTTCATAATTTTTTGGAATATTCGGATTATAAATATTAAGGCAATATTACTGATAACAATACGTGGACTATTTTTGGTAGAAAATATTCACCCACAATCCAGTCACCAAATGGGTACTTTTGGTCATTTTTTTCGAAACATGGTTGAAAACTCCCTTTAAATGCGATCGTAGCAAGTCAAAATAATCTGCAAATTTTTTTTAGATCGCAGACTACATTAAAAAGTCTTTAACTTACCTACGCGCATGAAATTCATAAAAATCATATTTTTTGGGGTTAAAACTATAATTCATGTGAGTTTTTGGGAAATTTCTCCTAGAAAATATAATTTTAGAAGGATGAGGTCAAAGACAAAAATATTCTTCATTCGAATTATCAAAGAGAAGAAACTATTATTTTCATTGTGTATTATGAAAAAATTCTTGCATATCGTTGATGCATATTTTTTTACATTTTTTCTCGGTTTTAACTGCCAATTAAACACGTTTCAAATTAAACACGAGTCAAAATCTCCCTTAAAACATCAGTTTTTGGAGAAGGTATCAAAGGAAGATTTATTGTACAATGAATTTCACTATGGGCCACCAAAGAAAATAAATCTCTATTTCCATTATATATCGTGAAAATATATTCATGAACGTAGCCAAAAAAATGGAAAAAAATTGCAATTTTTTTTATAAATTTTTCCTTGGACTTTTTTTTGAATTAAGGCATGAAAATAACATACAATTTCATTTTGAGCAGAAAGTGTCAAAAGATGAAATATTCTACACAAAATTTCACTATAAATCTCATAATAAACTATATATCTAGGTTATACAGGTTTTAAGAAAATTATATTCGAAATATACATATAACAAGTGCAAATTATGTTTTTACGTCTTTTACTGCCAAACTAATAACGTTTTCAATATTAGTCAAAATCTCCCTTAAAACATCCGTTTTGGGAGAAAGTATCAAAGGAAGATTTATTGTACAGAGAATTTCACTATGAGTCACCAAAGAAAATAAATCTCTATTTCCATTATATATCATGAAAATATTTTCATAAACGTAGCCAAAAAATTGGAAAGAAAGTTCATTTTTTTTAATTTATCCTTGCCTTTTTTTCGAATTGAGGCAAGAAAGTAACACAAATCTCCGTTTTAGGAGGATGGTGTAAAAAGACGAAATATTCTATGCAATATTTCACTATAAATCTCAGAATAAAGTATATATCTAGGTTATACAGGTGTTAAGAAAATTACATACGAAATATACATATAACAAGTGAAAATTATGTGTTCACGTCTTTTACTTCCAAACTAAACACGATTCCAATATTAGTCAAAATCTCCCTTAAAACATCTGTTTTGGGAGAAAGTATCAAAGGAAGATTTATTGCACACCGAATTTCACTATGATTCACCAAAGATACGAAATTTATATTTCCATTATATATCATGAAAATAATTGCATCAACGCCAAAAAAATAAAGAAAATATTTCCAAAATTGTCTATCAATTCCTTCTTGGCATTTTTACGAGTTGAGATATGAATGTGAGACAAAACTTCGATTAAGGTAGAAAGTGTCAAAAGAAAAAATCTTTTATATAAAATTTCACTATGAATTCTAGAATAAACCATATATCTAGGTATAATAGTTTTATAAGAAAATTACAATGGAAATCTGTATATTAGAAGTGAAAATTACGTTTTACGTTTTTTTTTTTTTCAAAAAAAAAAAAAAAAAACCCAAAGACTTCTTTGGTGACTCGCGGTTAACATTTTTCAAAATAATCCTTGTATTATTATCTGTAATATTGCCAAAGACAAATGCAAGGACTCCAAGGTATCAAAGGCGGAAGATTTCAAAAAAAAAAAAAAAAATTAGTGAGGGGGAACTTTCCCCCTCAATTTAGATTAACTTGCGATGTGAAATTTCAAAACTCAGATACAAATGTCTTCTTTTTTAGCTCTACTTTCTTAAGATACAAGAATTTTGCTGTAATTATAAATTTGGAGGCGAAGTATTGTAAAGTTCTTCAAAAAAAAAAAAAAAAAAAAAAAAAAAGATAAATAAATAATAAAAATAAATAAATAAATAAAAACATTTTTTCCACGATTTTTTTTTAAATTAAGTGAAGTCCATTATTTTTCCCGCGAATATTAAATATATTCTTAAAGCAGCAAGGACAGGCTATATGATACCCCACAAATAGATTTATATTGGAATTTTTGTGATTTTGAACAGAAATGATTTTTTAGGCGTCAACGTTAGACAAATTAGAAAGTGTAGGTCGATTCTGTAACTTTTGAAATATTTGAAAAATAAACAATGACCAAGATTGTTAAAAAGTTAGTCCTGCCGGCCTATTCTGTTTAGTTTCCATTCAGTTCTAAGACATTCACACTTACTTCAATTTACTTAATATTTATTTCCCTTAATAAGTCTCTTTTCTTTGTAAAGGGGTTCCATGCAAATAAATGACAAAAAAATATTACCCAAAAATATTTTGTTTCCAAAATGTAAATAAAAAAACTGAATGGTAGTACCATTTATTTTTCATTAGTCTGTCTACCCATCTGTCCGTCTGCCGGCCTGTCCATCACCCTGGTCTTATCAACTATCAAAATAATTAAATTATCACTTCTTTACGTTAAGATACTGCCCCGCAGCGTTCACACATATATATGTATATGTATGTATAGCCAACATAAGTTTGTTTTTCCCACATGCCACTGCCTGTGTCTGC